ACCTGCTGGTGTACTCAGCGCGGCAATTCGGTTCCAAGGGAAACGGCTGAACTGCAGCGACACCTTCCCCACATGAGCAGGTTTGTGCGTCTCACGACTGCATTACTTTTTAACTGACAGATACTAGAACACTGCAATATTCCCTTCTATTTGCAAGAAGGATTTCCAATTCATTTGTGTCCTGCAGAGCCCAGAAAATCCATCTCAGAAAAAACCTCAAGCTAAGGAACAGAGTCTCTAGTGCCTAGGAGCAGGATGGGATTCACGCTGCGTCCTCCCCAAGCCTGAAAGGAATTAATAGAGTATACTCCTATTTGCAGCTACCTCTTTTCAGAAAACTCAGAGGAAATTCGCTGTCTTAGATATCTATTCTCGTCACTTCAGCTGATTTTGGCTGGGGAGGTCATAAGTTTTTGAGGCCAAGTTAAATGGACACAGTGACCAAACGCAAGCCTTCTCAGAAAACAAAGGAATCTTAGGGAGCTGCCGCTACTTACCTTCTTTGTATTCTTCTGGTTTTTGGCCTGATTTTGGCTTTGCCTACTGCCTACATTAAGAAAGACGAGAGAGAAGAGAGGAGAGAAGGGAGAAAAGAATTATTGTCTTAGAATTATTGGGTAGAAGCACTGTATTGTATTATTCCCCATCGAGACTAGGGAACCTGACCAAGTTTATAATCTGGTGCTCCACACCATGCAAAGAAAAGCCTGTCAGCCTTCTCCAACATTCTTAGATGGTCCGTGGACCTCCAAAAGCCATCTTAGATGGTCGATGGACCTTCTCAAACCTTCTTAGATGGCAACTACTCGCATCATTTTCAAGACTGAAGATGCTTTCTTTCCTTGCTCCTCACCTCCCCGACCCCACCATTGTCAGCCTCTTGTTCTCACACCTCTGAGGAGCAACTGAACAGCATTTGGGGGCAGATGGGAGGGGAGACACATGCGCAGCCCTGCAGGTGAGCACGGCCTGGTCTGGTCACTCACAGCCCAGTGGACGATGCGGATGTTGTTTTTGATGGTGCTGAACAGCTCGCGATGGATTTCACTAGGCAGCTCCCTCAAGACCTTCTCCAAAGGCTGGGGCAGGGAGAACATCACCCCCAACATGGCCAGAGCAGCACTGCAAGCCAGAGTGCTTGGTCAGCAGGGCTACCTTGGCCATTGTGCAGGGCCTGGGACAGACTGCTGGACCCAGGCTGTTCTGCAGCCCTGGCCCTGCCCATCCCCCTCGCCTGGGGTGCCCCAGAGCCCTGCCAAGCAGGCAGGACAGGGCTGAGGTGGTGTTCCCAATGGGGCAGGGAGGAACGCAGTGGTGGGCCTGGGGGCTGCCCTGGCCAGCTTTGGCTACTGCGGGACTGGCTGACACACCGGGGGCTGGACAGTGTGGTGAGATGGAGGGCTCCACTCCACAGGGATGTCCTGAAGTTTTCCCTGGAGCTCTGGTCCCCTTTCTCCACAGGGAACAAGCACTTGGGGCTGTCGGGGCTGGTACCTGTCAGCTGGTGGCAAGTACTTCAGCAGGCTGCTGACCTCTTCCCTGGGGCACCGGCTGGTCAGCAGGAGGAGGAGTGACTCCATGCTGAGCCATGTTGGTGCCAGGCAGACACGCTCCAGGTTTCCATGGATGCCATTCACGATCTTTGGCACCTGGAGGGGACACAGGTGAGGATGCTGCTGCCACTGGAGCCCAGCCATTTCCCCAGCTGCTGCCACTGAAACTGCCGCCCCTTCCCATCCTTCTCTGCTGGCTTAAGAGAGCTTCAGGTGCCCAAGACACTGGGGTTTGGGAGGGAGGAATGGAGGAGTGAAAACTTCCACCCTTCTGGATCACAAGGGTGCATTCAGAAAGGAAGTCTCGAGTTAAAAAACTTTTTAAACCCCCCAAACACCTCTGTTCTTTCTGGCATCGTCCAATTCCCTACAGAAATCTGAAGCACCACGTAGGACTGGGTTTGGTAAGGACAACAGTTTTATTGCTTCCATCACAAATGTCAAGTTTGATGGTTAGCGTTCTTTTGATAATGTTTATCTGCAGCCTTTGATGATGACTTGCAGGTTGTGACGGCAAGCTCAGCCACAAGGCCTGAACGCTTCTGTCCATAAGCCACGCACCTGAAACACCTGGCAAAGAGGAAGCATTTCCAGCTGCAAACGTTGCTTACTTTTGAGTCCTCCTCTCCAGAGTTCTCTTTGTGTTTCTTTTTCTTCTTCACTTTCTTGCATTTCTTTTTCAATTCTGGATCACAAGAAAGCTTGTTTCCCTCTTTTGCCCTTTCCTTTCAGGTGCGCTTTCATCTGCCTCTGCACAGGAAGGTTTTCTCTTTCTGGGTGTTCGTTTTTCATTTGGCTGGCAAGAGCCCACAAACGCTGGGTGAACTGGCACTGCTGGGAGCACACATTGTCCACTGCCATATGCCAGCTGATGGTGACTGTCCTGCCGTGTTTCTGTGCTGCAAATGAGCCTCTGCTTGGGAGGCACACAGTCTTGTTGTCTTCTGATCAGCTTCTCCCACTCCTCAGTGACAGAGTGCGCTCTCTTCCTGCTGCACTGCTGATGGGGAGTTCCTGCAGAGTCACGTGTTTTGCTCTTCTCTTGGATCCTCTGCATATTTTCTTTACCTTCTTGATTTCGCAGTCCTACGATGTCTCCAGGAAATAGACTGTTCCTCACATTATTCAGCTGCGCTACAGAAGTGCTCTTTGTCTCTTGGCCTTCACCACCTGCTCCAGAGGTCAGATCATGGTGCCTGGAGAAACAACAGTGATCTTAGCTCAGCATTGTCCTCGCAGCCTCCTTGTGGCATCCTGACATTTTCCGGCGTGGTGTGACACATAGAAGACTGAGCCAGCACTAGATGTTGGAAAACAGGTCCTGGTCTTCCAGCCACATCTGTCCCTTTCAGAGCAGTAACTCATCTTTGTACCCTCTCGGACCTCTGTTTCACCTCTTCTCACAGACAGCCAGTCTCAGAGAGCAGACAGCTAGCAATTTACACAAGCGCAACAGTTCAGTGCCAGATGGGGAGAGAGAAGAAAGGACCTGGCCAACTGCAGAACAGACAGAACCTGACTGGACAGTCATTCTCTCCTGGCACAGAAAGCAAAACCCGCCAGAGAACAACAGCAACAAGATCGGTACCAGGAGAGGGAGTGTATTCTGAGCACTCTGTCACACTCGTTATTACCTGGCATAGAAGAGTAAATAGGCACACTGGCAGAGAACTGTCTTGATGTCACAAAGACGTACAGAGTCATCGTTCATCTGGTACCACTGTCCATCACCGGCCTGCAAAGAAAGGCGAGGCTGTCTTGAGATGAACCCAGGGGTTTGAAAACAAAACCACAGACAGAAGACCGCTGAAGGACACAATACACCAGTGCAAGTCACAGAGCTGACTTTCACCTTCACGAAGCAGTAATAGTGTCCTGCCTGACAGCCGGAACCTTCATGTACCAGGACGGCATACAAGGAATAGAGTGGTCGTTCCTCAGATGCTTCAGACATGTATGCTCCAAGGTCCAAATGCTCCGGATACTCCACGACCTAAAGAGAGACCCAGAAAACTCAAAAATTATCCTGAGAGTCTTTAGGAAGCAGCCTGAGAAAATCTTGTCACCAAACGCAGGTTAGAGGTATAGAAAGCGATCTTCTGGTTCATCAAAACCAGCTGTTGCCGTTTCATCACTTCGGTGGCAGAAAACTGTTCCTGGCCAAACAAGTTCTTTAGGAGCACAGTAGAGTGCTTCTCCCCAGTTTGGAACTTCCCTCTTACCACAAGG